ATCAATGTTCCTATACGTGCATCTCTGCAAGTGCAAATTTTGTGTGGTTGATGTCTTGCGGGAAGTCAAGGTCTGAGTGATTGTTTGACAAATCCTTCCTCACAACTGATAGTTTCCCAAAATTTCCCAGGGATACATATTTCAGTATGGACCGGGCTCAATTACTTCCAGGGTTTGTCCCTGTGATTGTACTCTGGGGCAGGAGGGTAGTGGCAACACCCTCCTCTCCTCTTCACCCAAGCACTCTGTGGGTAATTAGGTGGGAGTGGAGCCATGTTTGTAGGGTGGCAAAGTGTTATTTGGTCACAAAGGCAGAGCCCAGACAACAAATACTCAGGACGTGTGCCACTGTCGCTTTGTTTGCAACAAACTAGTTTAATACTTGTAGCTATAGTGCTACACTAGATATGATCCAATGCCTTGTCGCTTTCATAATGTTATCACACTTCCTATTTAGCTATGATGGTCTCTATATAATCATAGCAATAGGAAGTGTAGACTATATAGACTTGGTGAAGGTTGGTGAGGAGGAGACCTGACTGAGATGGTTTCAGGTCTCTTGGTGTCCAGGGAGGAGATGAGTGTCAGTAGTGAGTCAGGAATGTCTCAATACTCTCTCTCCCACTGTACGAGGATGGTGTCAGTCCACTCTATGCTGCCAGTCAAGAGGGACACACTGAGGTGGTGGATGTTCTGGTGAAGATATGCTGTGATGCTGATGTCAATCATGGCAATGCAACCAAGTGTATGGTGTGGAATATTGCACGAAGTGAAAAAATGTACTCAATCAGTGTCTGCACTATACATGCCACAAGTGACAATGAAACCCATATTAGATGACATAGCTGGATTTGGTTCAAATCTGAGCAATGAGTAAAAAAGAGTGGTTGTGGTGGCGCCGCGGTTCGTGTTGTTTTTGTTTTGTACGTGTATTTTTCCTCGATGATGTATTAGCTGGTGGACGCTCCATAGTAAACCTTGTTTTCATGTAACATTTTTACATGAAAATTGACGGGACATTGTTTTGATCACATACATAATCTACAGAAACATGTAGCCTTGATTCGGTCTACAATAATTCTTTTTAGTTTCACAGTATGCGACAGAGAGACAAGAAGTCCTGCGGCATAGCTGTACGTAAGAGCTGTACGCTAGTCGTAGCGGTACGTCACGCCGCGTATGTGGACTATGTGCTGTCGGGTTAGAGGGGGCTGGCACCCCTGTTCCTGCGAAGCGTCGGCGGACGGCGAGCGGAGTGCTGATATAGCTTGCTTGCGTACGTTCTGGCTCGCCGCGTTGGTGGCTGAAACCTCGCTCGAGGCTGTACCAATTCGCCTTGTGCTCACGCTCCTTCGAATGTTCAGTACCGTGCTGGAAATATCGGCGATTTTTAGTCTTTTCATTGTTGTGTGTCGGTTTCGTCTGTTGCGGATTCGTGTGCTCTGCACTAAACATTGTTTTAGAGTTTAATTCCCGTTTTTTATTACTCGGTGAAAAGATAAAAAAAAATGTCTTGCGGGAAGTCACAAGGTCTGAGTGATGTTGACAGAATCCTTCCCTCTCTTAAACAACTGTATAGTTTCCACAATCCCGGTGATACATATTTTCAGTTTAATGACGGGCTCAATTACTTCTGACCGTGTGTTTAGTCCTGTGATTGTACTCTTGGCAGGATGGGTTAGTGGCATTTACACCCTCCTCGCTTCTCGACACCAAGTCACTCTGTGTGGTTTAATTGATGGGATGGAGGCCATGTGTAGTGGTGGCAGTGTGTTGATTTGTGTCACAGAAGGCATTGCTCCATGACAACAAATCTAATGGAAGGTGCCATCTGTCGCTTGTTTGCAAAAAATAGTTTAATTACTTGTGGAGCTATAGGGCTTTACACTAGATGTATATGGATCCAATGCTTGTTCGCTTTCATAAGTGGATACAAACAATGTCACACCTATTAGCTATGATGGTCTTATTATGTAATACATAGCTAATAGACTGTGTAGACTTATTATAGACTTGTGTAAGGTTGGATTGAGGAGGAGTACCTGACTGTTTGAGATGTGTTTGTCAGGTCTCGATGGTGTCTCAGGGAGGGAGATGGAGTGGTCAGTAGGAGTCGGAATGTCTCTAATAATGTTCTCTCCCATGTGACGGGAGGGGTCAGTTCCACTCTATGCTGCCAGGCACGAGGGGACTACATCTGAGGTGGTGGATGTTCTGGTGAAAGAGGATTGCTGATGTAGAATCAGGTGCAAACAACCAATGGTATTGTGAGGAAATTTGCAGAAGTGGAAAAAATCGCAATTCATGTGTTCTGCACTTATACATGCACAAGTGACAATTACTCCCATATTTAGTGCATAGCTGAGTTTAAGCGAGCAATGTGATTGGTCACACGATTTTTTTTTGTGTTGGTTTGGTAATTTGATTCCCGAGTTATACCTGGGACGCTCCCAAGTAAACCTTGTTTTCATTGTAACATTTTTACATGAAAATATGACAAGATTCACATACATAATGTCATGAAAACATGTAGGCTTTATTATTGTCACAAAATTCTTTGTTTAGTTTGTCAAAGAGTATGCACAGGAGAGGTGAAGAGACAAGAAGTCTTGGGCCTATGATGAACGTAAAGCGCCTGTACGCTAGTCGATTAGCTGAAGTTACGTTCACGCCCGCGGTATGTGGACGATGTGCGCCGTAGGTAGTGGCTTTGGCACCACACTTTTTCCGTCGAAGCGCGGTCGGACGGTCTGATGCGGGTGTGATATAGCTTCTTGTCCTACCGTTTCTTGGCTCGGCCGACGCTGGTGCTGAAAAACCTCACGCTCGAGCTGGTACCAATTCGCGTCTTCACGCCATTCGAATTTCACAGTCGCTGGAAACGGCGCTGGTTATGCGTTGTGCGGATAGTGTGCTCTGCATCGTAAAACATTTAGGTACGTTCCGTATACTTCGGAACTACGTGGATTTCACTGATCCCTCGGTGCTATTCCGCCCTCGCGCGTCGGGGCACACGAACGACGGGAGTCCCCGGGTTCATTGAAATCCTCGTAGTTCCCTGTGATAACGGTAGTATAGTTAGAAACTGAAATTATTATATAATATACAATTCCTTTTATGGTACCAATCATCTAGTTGGTTATATTCATCTGATATAGAGTGTATGTCTAATAGATACATGTTTCTGTATAACACAGTGTTTCTTTGGATAGTGTAGCAATTTTCGTGCAGTATATTTATACAAAACTGTTAAAAAAGTCAAGCTTGTCAGAGAAGATGTGGTGAGCCCATCCCTCCTATTGGTTTGTCTCGTCAGCATGAGGAGGGGTTCAGGCTCTTTGTGTAACTTCTATGTCCTGCTGCGCAGCGTGCGGGTGGTACCCGACAGATGTTCGTTCGTTAGGTTTTAGTAGGGGTGTCAATCTGGCGCTATGGCGCTAAAATCAGCGCCAAAGCGTAATTTAGAAGCGGCCTAGCTCGCCAAAGCTTTCTCTACGGCGTCTTCTGCGGTCAAACGGGCACACTGCGAACGTGGATTTGGTACCGGTTGTTTAGCTTGAACTTTTGCAATTGGGTGTTTATAGCGCTCGAAGGCGTCCTTGGCGGCCATGTTTTTGGCCCCAGAGATTGGTTGTTGCAGGTTGATTCACCCCTGTAGTTAAAGCATGGGCGTCATCTGGACAAGCAGCCAAACAGGAAAATAAGAAAGTTGCGGCGCAACGGGGTTTCTTAACATGTTGCAATATTAAATTATGTTCTCCATCGGGGTAGGTCATTTTGTGATCAGGTTTTTGAGACATTAGTTTGAGGGAAATTAATAGCGCAAACCGTAAGAATTGTAGCAATGGTTCAAAATATGAGTATTAAGAATAGATAATTAATATCCGAAAAGTGGAATTATCTCAAAGCCCTAGCCTCCTACTCCGCCTGCCTCTGCATTCGTGCCGCTCCTTGTGACTCATAAAAATTAAAAACCATGACTATAATAAAATGAAATGATCGTTAATATGTTCATCTTTGCAGGAGTGTATAGACCCTGATCCTCCTTGGGCTAATGAAAACCCTGTGTACGTAGTAGAAAATTAGTCTATATTTTATCAGTCAACGTTGTATTGTGTTCAGGTGTTTTGTTTGCATAAATGTGGCAAGTCAATTGACCACTCTCTTTCCCGGCTAGGAACCATGCATGTTTGTTACTCTGGTGTTAGCTGACCAGAATGGGTTCACTGAGACAGTTCAGAGGATCTGCTGGAGGCAGTAGCGCACCAACCTTCCAACCACCAGGACCAAGGTTAGGTATTTAGCCCTGTTCCCAAGCTCACGTGGAGTAGTCATAGGATGGCTCAGTACTTTGGTGTGAGCCATAAGTGAGCATCTTTTTGAATCCAGCGTATGGGAAGCTATGTCACACATGTAATAGTTTTACTAATTTGAAATGGACGAAATGGATGTTAATAATGACAATCTCGCGTGCGCGCTTGTTGTGTATATATAATCTCGCATTAACTCGATCCCCACATTCATATTAATATTGTTATAAAATAGACTGACAACTTTGCTAACTGGTGATCCCCTTTTATCATGGCCTTACTTTCCTCACCCTCCAGTTGTCTGAAATTAGTGCAGTGATTTCTAGGCAATGGCTAACAAATAGCCATGCATGTCAGCAAACCTGTTGGTACGTAATACATGTTCCAGACTGGAAGTAAACCCCACTTCATACTCTCTCACTGTACAGGATGGTGCCAGTCCACTCTATGTTGCCAGTCAAGAAGGACACTCTGATGTAGTGGACATTCTGCTAGAGGCTGGTGCTGATGTCCACCAGGCCACCACCAAGGTATGATACACAGTTGTTCTAGAGCTAGTCAGCTCATTTGTCCACCAACCATGGTGGCAGTGGTGTAGCCAAGAGCTCTGACTAGACCTCAACACTGAGATTGGTATGTACAACAAAGCTGTCAAGCACTTTTGTTAGTTTACATGTTCTCGCTGTACAGGGTGGTTTCAGTCCACTCTATGCTGCCAGTCAAGAAGGACACTCTGATGTAGTGGACATTCTGCTAGAGGCTGGTGCTGATGTCCACCAGGCCACCACCGAGGTATGATACACAGTTGTTCTAGAGCTAGTCAGCTCATTTGTCCACCAACCATGGTGGCAGTGGTGTAGCCAAGAGCTCTGACTAGACCTCAACACTGAGATTGGTATGTACAACAAAGCTGTCAATTAAGCACTTTTGTTAGTGCAACTACATGTCACTATAAACTGTGTAAACCTGGATGCAATTTGCATAATACACATGTGCATGCAAGAATTTATGTGTATATGTATGTGTCTGATCCCACAATAATGGTCTAGTTTCCCGTTGTCTCACTCTACTATCAGCTAGGTATGATACACAGTGTAGCTAACATTTTAGGAAACACTACATCCCATACTCACCCTTCATACGAAACTTACTTTTTTCTCTTGGTTTTCGTGAGAACGCAGCACTTTTACGAAAGTGAAAAGCCATAGCTACCATGTTCTGATGCATTGTATGTCTGTGTGTTTGTTAGTGTCGTGTCTCATTCCCTATCCTGTAACATTACTACATCCCATACTCACCCTTCATACAGAATTTACTCTCGGTTTTCCTGAGAACGCAGCATTCTTACTCTTTTTTTGTAGCTCCATTTGCACGTCTGTGTTCTGACACATTGTATTGTCTGAGTATTGGTTAGTGTCATGTCTCATTCCCTGATCCTCTGAAACCACACTCTGAGGTGTCTGGTCCTCACTGACCTGCCAATGATGAACTCAACAATTCACAGTTTCTCTCTCTCATTAGAGTGGTGCTGTTCCTCTGGGGATAGCTGCCCAGCAGGGACATACTGAGACAGTTCAGAGACTGTTGAAGGCAGGAGCCAACGTCAACCAGCAGAACAAGGTTTTGGCTAGCCTTTTTCCCAGGCTCACATGCAGTAGTCTATAGAGATAGGCTCATAATTGGTGAGCCAAGTGAGCCTACTTTTGAATCCAGCTTATGGGAAGCTACTGTCACACATACTGTAAAGTTTTACTAACTTGAAATGGACGAAATGGAGTTAAAATATGCAATCTTCGCGTGTCGCGCTTGTGTGTAACTCTCGCATTAACTCCCCACATTCATGTTAGTATTGTTATAAATTGGACTGACTATTTCTGTTCTCACCTCACACCATGTCCCACGTCCAGTGTTCTGTTGTATGTTCTCTACAGAATGGCCAGACTCCAGTCTACTTTGCCTCCTGGAAGGGTCATACAGCTGTAGTTAAACTGCTGATAGAGAATGGAGCTGACATCAGTATCTGTGATGAGGTATTGTACAGTTGTTACACTCTCTGTAGCTGGTTAAGTAAAACTGCAAACTAGTTGTTTCGGACACTCTCATGTCTCATCTGTTGACCTAAAATACTCCTGTCGATTGCTGTGGACTAAAACTTTCAAGCCGTGTAAAAATATATAATCAAAAAAGTTTGTGAGTAATTATTGTAGGATTATTGTGCAATGGTTGAGACTAGAGCCATAATCATTTACTACTAGCCTCATAGTTGTCTGAAATTAGTGCATTGATTTCTAGGCAATG